TGTATTGGGAGAGTTTGGCCAATAGGTGGAGCAAAGGCCGCCGCCAGCGCCGAATATTCCCCTCACGCTTAGAGCGTAAACTAAATTTGTGACACAGCGTCGACCAACCAGGAGACCGCGACGTCAAAATATTGCGAATGACATTTAAAGCGTGAAATAAAAGCGCTCAATCTCGGCCTCTCTACTCCATCTCCCAAATGTCTGCAGTGAAGACAAAGGCACAGGCGCGTGAGCCTAGCTCAGCAAAACGCTTTTGTTTGTACGAGAACTCGTGCATAGGAGGCATCTTCCAAAGCCACGCGCTCGTGCCCATGCATTTGTCTGCATTGCTGATGTTTGTTCGCTCTGGGCCGGCTTGCTAGAACAGCGTCTTGAGACTGGCTAAAAGAAAACAGTGCAAAGGGTGGGGCGCGCAAGCGTCTTGAGACGCGGAGTCCCGCTCGGCTCGTGCGCTGGCTTTGGCAGTGCTTTCTTTCCCCGTCTCAGCTGAGACGCTGTTTCTAGTATGGTGCCTCGATCGCGTCTTCGACTGGTGTGTTTAGCGCCCTATCCCGCCCATACATAAAAAGTGGTCCCAATGTGGCAACAAATGACGCGAGTGTCATGCTGTTGCCTGTCGCGATCCTGGCGGTTGGCCATAGAAATGCTGGCGAAAAGCACGAGCGAACGCGAGTGTCGCTGTCGTCACGGCGTCGCTTTAGGCGTCCCAACTTCCGGCTGCCTTAGCTTCCGTAAACTGTCAGAATGGAAAGCGACCTGCAGCAGAACAGGCGTCTGCTATTTTTACCACAACTGTTGGGACGCCACCAGGGTCGCGACCGGCGACAGCATGACACTTTTATGACGTCATCAGGCGGAAATCGAGGGACCACTTTTTTGGCCGCGGTAAACACACCAGTCGGAGACGCGTTCCAGGCACCATAGTTTCTAGCAAGTCGGCCCTGGTTTGGAGCACACGATCGTTTATTCTACACTTGAATATTGGCGTGACTAAAACCTCACATGCACAAAGTTTTCAGTCACCGAGAGCTACAGCTTTTCACTCTAGCGACGCCAAAAAAGGCTCAAATTAGTCGTGTCACATATTTAGAGCACACGACCACCGCTAGGGGCTGTTTCGCGGCCTGTGGTTGGTCCCGAGATGCTCGCCTATTCAAACCAATGTATGGCCAAACACTCTCAATAAACGGCTCTGGTGTCCAGGAATGCTGGGGATAGGCTTAAGAATAATGGAAGTAGCCGTCGCAACAAAAATCTATTATGCGACATGTGCGCTGTGCTGTCCACACACTACGCGGAAAAAAAGATATAAGAAAATTACAGCTGTGTGTTTACTTCTTGTGGGCGATTTTGAGTCGTTGTAGCTGCAGCCGCGGCAGTGGGGAGCCAAAAGTTTGGCGATAAACCAAGCAATCGTCGTCAAACCAGCCGAAGGAGTGGCGCCGACAGCTGCTTTCATCTTCTTTAAAAAGTGACGAGAATATTATTTATAGTCACGCTCGGTTCCGAAAAATAAAAATTATCTCGCGAAATGTTTAGTTTGTAGTCTTTATCAGGGTATTTGAATGCACGGTTTAGCGACGAGTTATATTACGCAGCTGCCCGATCTACGCACTCGCTTACCGTGAGATTTCTTTATTATTTTTTTTTTCGGGCAGTGGATATTGTTAACACTGTTGTGTGAACACGAAGAAACTACTTGCTCGATGACAGAGAAAATATGTGTGTTCTTGCGAACACCAATGTTTTACTCAAATTCCTGCTAAGTGCTATACACACATAAACAAACAAAAAAACGTGCGTTTTTGTTTTGTTTTGTTTTTTCGCAGATGCAATTTTTTAAACAAGCAAACCGTTAGCCAGCAGCTCTGGATGTTCGGCAAGTTCAAAGAGGTGTCCTTATACCGTTTTCTAGTATCCAGAAATCCAAAACTATTCATATCATAGCAGACCGTAGTCAATGAGAGCTTTACAAATACAAGGCGTGGCAAACACTGAGCATTTTAGGATCGCTCCGCAACCAATGAGAATGCGGCATTAGCCGAGAGGGACGTCGAAGAACGAATCGCGGAGCAAGAGGCACGAACATATAATAACCCGCGCCCCGCGTTTCTGAAACTGTCAATGACTCCAGTGCCCACCCAGTCAACCTTGTTACTTACACAGGCGCCAGCCGCGTTGCTACGGCCTGCGGCTGGGACACAATTTGCACTTCTGGGACACAAATATTTTGTGCGATAGCTGTTGCCTGCATTGTGATGCTTTCTTAATTGTTCTGTGGATCTCGTAAACCTAGAATTTGGATGTTTTCCCGTGCCCAGCCGCAGCCCTAACTGTGAGTCTGACTGAGAAAGTTTATTTTTACGATTGCAAACCGCAGTGCCCCTTTTGTCTCTAGAAGTTCACCTCTGGTGTCTTTCTATTTGTGTTCTGAATTTTTTTCCCAGCTTTTCGACAATTGAAGGAAAGTTTGCAGTCAGATTTTTCACATATGTTGAGATCTCACTTTTCATCTTTTTTGTCTGACATACGAAGTCAGTTGACGCTAAATCGTTTCTAGGCATGTTCGCAATGTCAGTGGAAAACATCATTAAACGAACGTTTATCGACTGGACTGCTGGCGTGATGTCTTCCACGCTCTTGGACGAAATGATAGCAACCAGCGGTTGGTGAACAGTCTCCATCTGGATTGTCACTCCGCCTGTAAAGTCGCTGAATTGTTGTCATCCCCGACCACAATGAGCCCTTCCTTCTCAAGGTGTGAGTATCGATACTCCGTTAACCCTTAAGGGGGTATTGAACCGAAATTTCGATCTCACAAAACACGGCTGGACAAATAGGCGGAACGCCTGCAAAGTTCAAAAAACATCCCTTATACAGCCATATGATATTTCACACGGATCTCCGTATTTTTGGAAAAGAAGTGCGCGATTGAGCACGGCCGACGAGGCTGACGAGGCAAGTCACGATTCTAACTCAGTTTCCCCCTCGCTACGTCCCGTTGAGCTGGTCAACCAAAGCGATAAGGAGAGAAGCGAGGCCGCTTTCCCTCATTCTCAAATTCTCCAGGAGGACAACGACGTCATAGATTTCGCTTGATCGCGCCCTTTTCCAAAAGTGCGGCCAACAGTGTGAGATATCGATGTATAAGGGATGTTTTGTAGTTCGTAGAGCGTCCCGTTCGATACTTCTGCGGCCTTATTTTTTAAAATCCAAATTCTGGTTCGATATCCCTTTAAGCTGGGACTAGAAACTCCGCCTTCAGCGCCAAGTTTCTGCCTTTTCTAACACAAGTGTGCACGCGCAGGCACGCGCAACCAAAGCACTGCGGAAGCCAGCGAGCTCGCGCTGAAGGCGGAGCTTCTAATCTCAGCTTACGGAGTATATACCGTCTGTTTCGCTTAGTGTTCTCGGTGTGCACGCGGCTTATCTATACATTTCGTCTTCGTGCTGCTGGCGCGATGCTACGCTAACTACAAAAGAAGAAGCCCATGTAAACAACATGTTAGCGTTCTTGGGTCGAACAGGACGATCAGCGGCTCTGATGTCAAAATCAGCAATTTATCTTTTCATTGACTGTCTGTTTTTCCTAATGTCAGGTCCATTGAGTCTTGGAACTCGATAAGACGACTAGTAAAAACAACTCTTGAACCAAACTCGAAAAAAAAAAAAAAAAAATCCCGGCCCTAGGAAGCATGTGAGCTCGATGATGCTGGAGAGTTTATCTTCGCGATAGCACCTACCAAATCCTCATCTGGATGAATTTCATCTTGATAGATGATATAACTAGGGAACTTACTCTTAGTCTACGCGAATCAACATTTAGTTAAGCAGCGTACCTTCTATTTACATGACATAAGACACTCACAATGGGTTCTATTCTCCCCTACCTGACACACAGTAGTGGCAAAAGCACCGTACTCTTTCCCTCTGAATGATTTGCACTAATGCTTTATACACTATGATTCTCTTTTGTCCAAGAGAATCGCAGATTTTTTGCGTTTTTAATACGACTCAACGCAAAAAATTATCCTTCAGAGGCCCGATGTCACTTTTCACTGGTCTATTTGCTGCACATCTGTTACAATAAGAGTTGTATACGCGTACATGACTGGTAAAAAAAAATAGGTTGGAGCCGTTAAAAGGAATTAAAAATAAAGCTAAACCAGCAAACAAAATCAGCCATCATTCCTGTTTGGCTTACTAAATTCCACAAGCTCACCTTCCCAGGGGACACGGGCCCTAGTCCACTATTCATGCACAAAATGTGGAGTGCCGGCCACATTCAGCCACTTAATCTGGGACTGTTCAAAATATCTTTTAATTCAAAATCTCTACTTTGGTACCGAACCCCGGAGTATCGCCATCGAACATCCACCGACCGAACAAGCCCCCACCCCACTTAACCTACCGACCACCGCAAGCAGATCCTGGACTCTACAATCTTATATACGAGAGGCCAAATTAACTCCGTATACCTAGTCTGAATTCTAACAACAGCTATGAAATATTTCGACGGCGGGCTATACATCTCTAATTAAAATGTGCCAGCTGAGGTGAAGTGTTCGGTAGTTAATTGTGAAAGCGAGCGCCATTCTGTACTGGCCCTTTTATTTTATTTCGCCAAGCGCATTCCAAGCGAGCGCCATTGTGTTTTGCCTTTCTCTTTTATTTCGCTGGGCGCAAGGTTGAGTTCTCGGAAGATTGTGATTTATTCGAACTCCTCGGCTCCAGGAATCTCGCACGTGGATGCCCGTGCCATGAAGGTGCCACTGGCTGGCGTCGGGCGGGATGCGGATCGGGTTACAGCCTTGGGCGAGACCAAGCTGCTCAAGAAAACTATGCGGAGTCTAACAGCGGGACTCAAAGCGAGAGTGTGTGTGTGATGGTGGTACGCGACCACCAATAGTGTCCGTCTTGTAAACTAAAATGGTATCGAGAATATTAGATCTAGTGTTTCTTTAATTCCCAAAAACCCATTTGTCAAGACCTCGTTTATTATCAAGAAGTTATTTTATTTGAAACAACCATCGATTACAATTGGAAAATATTATGTAACTAAAATGCTCATTTTTAGTTTACACTGGTAACCGGTCGTTCGCCCGCAGTCGAATACACTATTCCAAAAGGGAATTTTTTTTTTATCAGAAATGTTTGAAACACTTTGTAAACTCCGAAGTGATGCGCTATCAGTTCTAGCAATGAGAAGGGTTATCGGTGTCATGCTCGATAACCCTTCTCACAACCCTGCATCGAGATCTCAATGGCACAATAACCGGACGCCTTTTTTGATTGAGGTAAGACAAAGGATTGGTGTTTTCAAGGAATCCCGATGCAGCGCACCCTCGGAACATCTGAAGGTACGCATGCTCCTTGCGCTGGCACGCGTTGGTTTATCCGGAAGAGTTGGTTGCACCGCGAAACACGAAGAGAAGAACAGGAGGAACAATAAATGTATGCCGGCTGCTATATACTTCGCCTCATTTTTTATAGTGCCTCGTTTCGTTTGTTTTTGAGTGTATGGGTGAGTCTGTGCGTTTATACAAGTTCGTATATATAGAAGAGCAGGAACCCCATCGTAGGGTATTAGAACTGGCTGTTTTGCCACGCACTTTAGGTACCGGCCCGACGCGACAGACCACAAGGCCGGCCTCCGCTTTGGAGGTTCAGACAGCAAATTGTGCGCGAAGGATGCGCGGGGAAAACAAAAAAAGGATGCCTCACTCCGTCCTCATCTCGGTAACGTAAAACAAATTACTGTCGTTACGAAACGCGATACTGGTGTTGGAAGATGCTCCTCCAGAGAGATTGCGGCATGAGGCAGTCATTATTTTATTTTGTGATATTATGTCAATTAATTTCCAGCCTTTTTTTTTTTTAAGCAGGAGCTGTTATAGTGCTTATTTGGGACTTCTGCATGGCATGTTTTAAAAAAAAGAAAAGAAGCATTAGACGAGAAAACATACATTTATTGGGTTACTTTTTACGTGAAAATTATTGGTACACTCATATATTCCTCAGACAGTATCTATTTCTTTGTACATGTGGAAACACTTAAGACAAAACGAAAAAAAAAATGCATGCATACGCACATATAGATGGACTAAGCAAAAACGCATACCACGTAATTCTGACTTCCTGCCAATGATTAAGTTGAAATATGCATATGTATGAACCATACTCATCGGTTGGAGTAAATGACCCAAACAAATATGCAAATTTCCATTCATCTGCATATTTTGACTATTTATTTAAGGATCGCAAAGAGACGATGAAAGTGACCCGCATACCTAAGATTAAGATGTTCATTTCTATTTTTTTTGTAAGATCGGAGTAGGTGGCAATATGATAATATTTTTTGATCGTCGCTAAGCTCATCATTCATTATCGCCCCTCGCAAGTCAAAAAGAGGATGATCCAACGCTAGCAAATGTTCAGAGAGAATCAGTAACGTTCACCATTTTGTTGAAATTTTGAAACTCCCAACTCTCGGTGCTCGTCTTGCGCTGCCTCGCGGGCTCAGGCAGTTGAACGTCCAGTTCGTGGATTTCTGGACCTTCTTTTGAATTATCTGCAACACCCGCGAGCGCTTCCGGGGGATCTGTCTCGCCCTCGTCGTAGAAGTTCTTGATTATTTTGCTGTAGTATACCACGCCGCACTGGAACACGGCACTGATGACGAGTAGGACGGTTGTGACTCCGTGAATGAGGTAGCGGAGCTTCTGGAGGTCGTAGATCCAGCAAGCGCCGCGTTCCCCGCAGCGATCTTCCCACACGAGGCACGAAGCGTCGATGACTGCCCCGTAGATGAGAGGGTACGGTATGAAGGCTGCAAATGAAAACGCATAAAAATAAACATATTGGTCACTTCCTTACTTCGGTTTGGTAAGAAAACTACGGTGTATGCCTGAAACACGTCTTCATTTTGTCTCCTCGATTTCCGGTTGATCACATCTCAATCTCACAACGCTGCTGTTAATCGCGATTGTAGTGGTAGCGCAATGGGCCTTTTTTAAATAAAGACGACACGAAGTGGCTAAAACTCAAACTACGGTTGGTGGATAGAATGGAAGCTGCGACACCTTTCCTGCCTTCTCTGCAGCTGATCCGAGCCGCGGAAGAGACAGGCGAGGTAGTGCAACCATTCTTCCGGACGCCAGCCGAAGTTAGAGCTTTCGCCACTGCGAGAGGAAGGCCTGCGCATGTGCAGAACCTTTTTGTCAAAAAGGTCCGTATTGGGGTTAGACACTGGAAAAGCTTGTTGTGCCGTATCGTGCCCTAAGAGACACGTTGTGTCTACCTCAGGGATGATTCAATGCCGGAACTATTCTGTAGGTCGCTAATTCCACCAATTGGAGACCGGTTCCAGGCATCACAGTCTTGCTGGACCTTCATGTCCCTAATATTTCTTAAAGCAAAAAACTCACCAAACATGTTCATGATGAACGAGTTCATTGTAAGTGCGACGCTTTTGTCCTTTGGCTCGATGGCTCTGTGTTTGAAAGATGACGTGGAAGGGTCTGAGTCGTGATTGCCAGCCTAAATTTGCGGCTTGTCAGCTATGGTACACAGTATTGTCACATACCTGAGAAATAGAAGGGTGGAGCCTACGTGCGACGTTGAGAGCACGACTTGCATAAAGAATACAACTCCGGCGAAGGCCATCATGGCGTCGAAGCAGTCCTGCTCGCACTTGCCGTTCTTAACCTGTCCAATGGAGAATTGGCTTTCTCCACGTTCTGACTGGAGGCACCTGCAGTCGCGAAACTCCTGCAAAACAACAAAACAATAACGGCCCTGCTATAAAAAAAAAATATTGGTAGATAACTTATCTTACTTCGTAAACGTCTATATTAATCATATTGTTCACATATGTATATTTATATATTACAAAGAAAAAACTACAAATCTTTTTTTTTTTTATTTCATCTCTTTTCTTATTTCTGGGGGACTCGAGGGGAGATTTTTTAAATGTAATCACTGTACGCTTTCCGCGTTCAATTTGTTGTCTGATCATCTTTAGAGATGTTTGTAAGCACACGAACATTTTTGTAACAAGGCCAATCGTTGGTATTAATTAAATTATTTAAACTATAGAAACGGACAATCGCTATCATACATCTAAAACAAAAACCACCAACACGCATACGCCCCTTTCTTCCGTTGAGATTGCATGATAATTGGAACACTATAGACGCTTTAAACACTTCACATTTAGCCGCCATTGCCGACCTTCTCGTGTCTTACCGAGATGCCGAGCCACTGAAGCGGGCGTTGACGAGTTTTCAGAGAGGTCTATGCTGGGGAGAAGGGCACAGTAGCACTTAAAGGGGCGATAACATGTCCTGATGTGGCAATGATGAAGTGAAGCGAACGAAATAAGAGAAATCAAAAACTGAAGGTCGGTTAGGGAGGCTCCCATGCACAGCTGCCTGAAAGCGTCTATACTGATAGCACTTCTTACTGGTTGAACTAATGAAAAGAATCCAAATGATTCGTGGTCCGAGCGATGAACATTTGAGGGTATAGCTTGTTTTATTTTTTAGCGTAAATCGGGGGGGAACGTACACCATTTCTTTTTTAGAGGCATTTAGACTCACCGTTTGGTTTGGTGCTTCCGGCAGGCACCCTGCGAAGCAGGCAGAGAAGTACTGTGTATCTGTGTTGGGATCACAAACTGGGTGATGAATGCTTGTGGAGCAATCGCAATCAGCTGTGCAAGAATTTTCTATTGTCAGCCTGAAAGTAGAATTGGAATGAATTGTTGCATTTTAATGCTTTGTTATGCAAAGAAATGCAGCCGTCCTGCAAATTACAACGAGGATAAATATATTCTTGAAAAGGGGGACACGGAAAAGTATTTTCATTTCGTAAAACAAGGCTTATAACAAAATGTGTCGCACATTTTCTGACAATCGTTTTTTTTAGACGTGATGACCAGAGTTAAGCTACAGAAATCGACTGATGCTCTCACTTTGCTCATAAAAATATTTTTTTATGTTAATACGCATAGTCCTTGGACTGTTTTTATTTTCAATAGAGGTTAGCTTAAGCTCTCGTTGACTGATTTATTGACTGATTATCAATTTATTGTGGACAACAGGCATTGGTAAGTTTGCCCAAAAATAAAACTAGAGGGTTGCCTTCACCGAAGGCGGAACAAAAGAAGACCGATTAAGATAGTATTTTGACTCATAAACCATTTTATGTGTTTGTTTCTTTATTTGTTTTGTGTCCTAGCACATCCGCCTGGTTCACATTGGACACTGGCGGGCCTACAGCTCGAACACCTGCTTGTTTTAACTCGCAATAGTGGCCGGTATGCGAGTGCGAAAATCGAGCACGAACCTGTTTCTTTATGGCGTCCATGACTGTAGCTGACACAGCCGACCAGAACTACAACGAACTCGATATAGCTTAGAAATATTGTATCCACGCACATAAAAACCTGGAAAAAGTTCGAAATACAGCAAAAGCTTGAAGAGCATAGAAGTGTTTGTTCGATAAAGCATCCGCAGTTCTAATTGCCCGCAACGTTGTGTTTTTTCTGTGTAAAAAAGTTTATAAGTTTATTCCGTACCGGGAAAAGCAACAAAGGGTCGTAGTCCACAAGATTCCCACGTGATTACTAGCCGGAAGTACGTAACGCGAAGTTTGTGAGTGATGGTTCGAAAGTTGTAATTCGAAAGTATCGGCACGCGTGGCTATATTTTCTACACGGGGTCACATTAACAGAAAATGAGGCAGCCCACCGTTCTTCGGCATTACGAACAACCGGGTAGTGAATGGAACCACAGCTTATGAGCATGAGAGCCACGATTCCTCCGATGGATACGACGGTGACGAAGACGTTCAGCGCAGCCACGACCCTTGGACTTGGCTTCACCTTGTGTACGAAGATGGCTCCAAGAATGGTACCAATCACGTTGGACACGATGTATGTTGGCCCTGTAAAGATTAAAACAAATGTCATATAAAAATAATTTACACTCCATATAAAATAAATAAAGATGTGAGGTTCACTTTTTTTTACAAGGGTCACAAAGTATGTATAAAATCGACTTTTGAAGAGAGCGAAATAGCCATAGCGTAGCGGTGGAACGTTTTGGGTACCACTGCTTCACTGTGGCCGCTGTCTTGTAGGGCGGGTCGCACGAGTACTGCATATAATACACTCATGTAAATTTTTTAGACAAGATTTTATTTTTGACGCCTCCTCGTATGTTCTACGCGTTCTGTATATCTCGGTGATCGACACACGACGTGTTCTACAGGAATTTAGACGAGAGAGAAACTGGGCTCATAAAGCTCAGAACATTCGAGCTAAGCAAATCAGACGCTTCAAAGTTATTAGCATCTTCAATGAGAACATGACAGCAGAAGTAGCTTCTATACGTTCAAAACTTGCAGTTTTTTTTTTTTTTTCTGGTGCAATTTGGTATAACTAGGGTCCCTTATTTTTCTAGCATAAAGATTATTTATATATATGTTCATTAAAAATAGGCACTACTGCAGCGCGTAATAGCCGTGAAGAACAAACCAGAGTAAATAAAAAATCTAAAAATGCAGAAAAAAGATACTGCTGCAAAAAAGAAAAAAAATCTCTATTTTTGTGTTACTTGCGCCTTTTCGGTGAGTATTTTTCTGAATTGGGAGCGTTATGATCGCGATGTAGTACATGTCTACTTTTCCATCAGCTACGCCGTAATGTACTCGCCAAAATATCAGGAATTAAGCAATCAAGACATCCAATAATCGGCTAAATTGCTGGTGTTCATTTTATGATGCCAATTCATCAACATTGATACGACATATATTTATCGGTGTTGTCTTTCGGATAAAAGTACTGACAAAACAAACAAATAACCTACTTGGAATGGAGAGCGTGGTGGTAAGGGTAATATAAATAAAGAGAAGAACACTAAACACAAGGAGGGACAAGGCTTGTTCGTCCTTATCCTTTATGTTGTTCCCTTCATTTATAAAAAAAGAAAAAGAAATAGTTACTGCCAGCTTAAGAAACGCAGGGTGTAGCTTATTCTATTCAGGTTTCTTGGTTCTCGATTGGTCTATAAGAATTCTTGTCCGATGCAGCGATCTGATTCGCTACCGAGTTATCATAAGAGGCTCCGGATTCGTCACACCTTTCGTTTCTTGAGCTGTCGGGGACTACGTTCCTATACATCGTGTCATAGTTTTTCATTCAAAGAAATCTACAGACTACTTTCCTGCAAAGCACGAGAGAGAGAGCCAATTACTGCAGTCTCATTAAGGAGGAAACTCGGCAAATTACGAGGCTGGAAATAAGTAACTGCGCTATTGCGCGAAGCACAGTGAAATATCATGCGCAGTTTCATAGAGCAGAGTCTTTACGTCTCAACGTATTTCGAGCCCATCATTCACCGAGTTTCCTCTGTACATTGAAAGTACTTTGCGGGAAGTATCGTATTTCCCAGGCTATATAGTCCCCGGACTATACATGTTTAAATGTTTAAATTTTACCTGGTGCGGACCACCTGCAGGTGCGGAGTATACAAGTTTTATTTTTCTATATTGTTCATCTCAACCAGTCGTGACAAACGTTGTGAATTACAGAATATGTTAATGATAGAATATGTTAATTACAGGGTAGAGTATGGCATCGTACAGCCGAACCCAAGTGCTCGGGAACATGTCCGACAAAACGTGATCGGCATTTTTTTTTTCTCCAAAATATCAGCACGTCCTTAACACCTTACTAGAGAAAAGGCAGCAGCCCTCCGGGAGCTTAGAGATAACACGACGATTGTGCTTTTACCAGCGGCCAAGGACCATTCAACGGTAGTCCTAAACCGAGATTACTACAAGATCACTGTTCGAAATCTCCTCGATAGCCCGGCTTATGAAAAACTTTAACAAATACCCTGCGACACAGCTCCAGACAAAAATCATGGGGTGTTGTATAGTTTCTGGCCTGGGTGGAACCCAAAAAAAAGGGTCCCTCCCCTCAAAAGGGATTAGAGGGGATTAGTTCCCTGGACTGCCGCCTCTGAAAAGGGATAAGCATGGATTATGCTCGGACCACTTCTTTGCATAAACCCGAGGCAATCGTCGCGCTCTGATAGGACGTCCGACACGGAGCTTTGTTAGACGCCTTCGATTATATTAGAGAGAAAGGGAAGTGCACGCGTGGATAGACTGAGTGACGGGGGGCCATGGGGACTTCAAGAAAGCAGGGTGGCCACATGGTGGACACGCTGGAAAGGCGGCTTGTCTTGTTTTGGATCGGCAGGAACACTTTGCTACTTCGAGCAGCGAACGGCCGCTAAATTAACCGCTGATGCTACCGTGAGCTAGGATCGCCTCATAACGACTCCGTGAAATTTGGCTTGTCTTGGATTGGCAGAAACACTTTGCTACTTCGAGCAGCGAGCGGCCGCGAAATTAACCGCTGATGCCGAGTGGTTTTTGTGACGACTCGTCCATGTCTCTTCAATCTGCAAAATGCGGTTTGTTTGCTTCGCTTTTCTACGAGCGTACCGATTTTGTGAAGCAAGGTTCGTTTCTCGGGCTTTGCGTAATCAGGATAAATCGTGTTCTTTTCAATACGCGTCGAGTACGTTGCACCGACTCCCCCGTGAACCGCGCGCCCGAAAACCACGAGAGGCAATGTAACCGAACGCCTCGGACCCCAGAACCGCGCGAGACGGCAGAGCCCGCCGAGGAGCCTCTTTGCTCTCCTACTTCTGCGTGTTTTCTTGTACTATGTCGACTTTGCGGAGTAAGAAAAACAAGGGGAAAATAATAGTGAAGGGCAACCACACGCGCGTCTCTTCGTTTTATTATTAGTGTCCCCGTCTCAGATTAATAATGAGTCGTTCTCCGTCTATACTCCGTTTCAGCTTATGTTGTACCGCAGAGAAGGCCAGAAGCGCGAGCTCATAGCGTTGGCAGCTGCCCTTGTTGCACGAGAGCTTGTGCCGTCGAGATGTGTCCTAGAGCAAGGAGCTCGCGCTTGTAGCCGTTCCTGGGGTACAACACTAGGTGAAACAGAGTATAGCCCGCGTTTTTGCCACGAGTTTCTGACGTGTAAGCAACACAACTCTTCACACTGCTTTTATTTATTATTATTTTTTCCGCTGCGGATTTTTTCAATTTTTATTCGTGCCTGGTTCTGCTACTCTTCTGCTCACACAATAACGTGTTCCAGTAGCCTGAAGCAAGTCACTCTCCTATTCTTCACCGTTGAAATATTTCAGGCTTTACAACAGTAATGTGTGCACACTGAAAAGTAACTTCTTGCTGCAATGTTTGTCGTTGAATAATGGATCACCAGCACAAATATTACTTACCGATGAGTGCCCAGGAGAGCTTATGAGACATTAGTGCACCCTTCAATGGTTCAAACCACTACTTCATGCACCACACAGGTGACTGTGGCATAGTGACAAGCACAACCAGGGTGCTTGCCGTTTAATGTCGGAAACACTTCGGAAAATGCAGTTGCTACATGACCCTGAAGTTCTAGAGAATCTTACACCTTGGTGCCATGCAAAATAACTAAGCTAAAGAAACTGTCAAGGAAGAGTCGCAATAGGTGCAACCCACAGGTTCTCATGACTCCACATACCGGGCCGGCCAGCTGTGGATCAGCGAGCAGGTGTCGTAGAGCAGCTGCCACTGCGAGCGGTGCAGTGTCTCATAAGAAGAAACGGTTGCTGGAGAAAGCTCTCATGAATGCAAAGTCTGTGGTGAACTTGGAGTAGTGATGGTGATCCTGAAACAAAAAGGATTCAAGCCAAGCCTGTTCCTGTGCTCCATGACGTATGGCGTCCTCCCCTTACCAGAATTCCTGGCTGTTATTTTCCTTCCTTACGTGTGCGTGCCCCCAACAGCAGCAATAGTAATAATTGCACGTTGCTTCAACAGGACGTGCTGATTTGGGGGGCTTGGTGGCAGAGTGTGGAGCGAAAACTTGCACTGAGTGCCCCTGCCCGTTTTGACCTGGATGAGCACTGCACCTACACATGGGCAGTATTACTGCTATATGATTCATCTTAAAGACTTCGGGCTATCGGTATTTGGCAGTCGAGTAAAAGAAAAAAAAAGAACTACTTATGTGTGTGATGGGAAACGTATAAACCTCTCTATATACCAGGTTTACCTACAGCCACCTGAAAACATCGCACCTCTTCAAGTGTGAAAGAGGGTACGCCTGCACGCAATCCACTACACTCTGTTTCACATTAATTTGGGAAACTGTAGAAACTGTGGCGTCTATACAGGCCGTAGGAGTCTGCTGTGAAATTAAGACACTTGGGAAGAACGTACCCCATGTGCCTAAAGACATTAGATGGTTTCAAAAAGGCATTCATACTTTCAGTCGGCTTGCAAACTGTAGCAAGAATGTTGGTTTGTACCATAGAAGTTTCAATTGCCCCTCCTTGAACTACTAGGAAAATGACTTCCAATTCACAATAGTGCTGAACGCAACTAAAACACATGGAAGAACAGTGGCCGAGTCGGCTAGCACGTCTCAGCTCTGGGCATGCGGAGCGAAAGCTCGCGCTGCAGAACCCGGGATCGTGGGCTAAACCCCAGCATTTGCTCATTTCGATCTGGACGAGGATCATACCAGTACGCGTTTGTGTAATCACTACTACATGATGCACGTTAAAGATCCCAGGCTTTCGCTCCTACTGCACTGGCTAAATTCCTCATCTACAGCGACAAGCTTGGCATCATTCGAGGCAGGCCGACCTTTCGCTGTCTAAACATCCTCAACACAATGCTACTTTTTTTTAACTGAAACACGTACAAAAGGGAACATTCCTATGACCTTGTACAGTAATGCATTGAACTGTTTGTGAATGCTTGTGATACACAAACGGGCAAGAGGCAAGAACGAGAGCATGCACATTCACACTGTGGCAGCAAATACACCACAGCAGCCTCCTTTGCCATTGTTG